TATATATATATATATATATATATATATATATATATATATAATAAGTCACCAGCAACATACATCTATCCACACTGCTTTTCTTTCTTTAAAGATTTGTGCTGGTTCTTTTTCATTCTTTATCGAGAATACAATTCATCCGTAAAATTCCCTTAGAGTTCCAGGCTTTTGTGCCCCGTGAATCTGAACTGTATCGCTTCACGTTTCGATCCCGTTCTGATCATGTCGGCACCAATCGCGCATCGATGCTCTCTAGTGTTTTCTCATATACGCGATAAAACGAAAGGTTCAACTGTTTTCCTCACTATTTCCAAAAACATTTTTGACTCTTTTTTAAAGAAAAACTTTAAATTACGGTGCTTTGAACACTGGAAGTGTTTCAATAATGCGTGTGTTTAGCTTAATATCTCTTAATTTGCATTCTCATTGCTATTGTTTATTCAAAACATTTAAATTGAGTCTACTCAATTAAGTTTTGTAAGCAGCTACGACAGCATAGATATATTTCGATGTATTATGTTAGCTTTGTGGCGGTGGCGGTGTGGCACAGTGGTCGGAGGGGCCCTGCAACACACACGTGGAATCGATCTCGGCGTCCATGGCTCACGAAGCCTTCCATCCCTCCGGGGTCGATAAATTGGGTCCAGAATTGTCTGGGAGGATAGCAGCACTGACTCGATACATCGGTAGGCCTCCGCGAGTCATTGTGAAGGCCAGATGTGCATTCATTGACCTCCAAACGATACTTAATAAAGTCGAATAAATGGCGCATCCCTCAGGAATTGATCAACGCCGACAACTTTATCATTTATTTATTTTATGCTACCTTTCTAATATCCTCCATGTGAGATAAATCCTTTAAATGTCCGCGGCCTAACTATACACCTAGGTGGCTTAAATCACTACTGTAGCATCCAATTACGCCTAATTGTTCATTTCGTTCTCCATGAGTTTATGCCTCACGTCTACCGATGTGCTTACACACCATTCTATGAGTAGTTCTCACACATTGGTCTCGATCCAAAACAGTGGTCAATGACGGCAATGAACCCCATTTAATGATTTCCCAGGACTCCCGGAACAAATTTCCTCAGCCACCAACATAGAGCTCATGATTTGTCATGAGTTATTTTCCAAGTTTGCATGTATGAACCGTTTAAAGATAGTGTTTGAGGTGTTTCACAACGAACATCCACGTTGCCTTCAGTAAACAAAAGGTCACTAGTAAAAAAGCAGAAATCTTGCTGTACAGTAACATCACTGTGCTAACATTGTTAATTTCCTGTACTACTTTTTTACACATGTATACATATATATTGTTAATAATTTTGACTTTTCTTGATAAACACATGAGCGGTTGCTGCTTTACTCTTTACTCACAAAAGAGCTCACGTTTTGGTGGATTGCGTTTTCTCTAGATCCAGAAAAGACCAGGGTGACTACAGTCTACGCAGCCAAACACCTCCATAACAAAAACTAAAAAAATACTAGCCCTACATTTTTTTGCTCAACAAAAAGACGAAGAATTATTCGTTGTAAGTTTCCCAGTTAAAAGGTGGAGAGCAGCTGCACAGAGTATAACATGGGCGAGGAATGTGCTTGTGTCATGTCACAGAATCATAGTTGCACTTACTTCGTTGGTAATAAAGGGCAGCTTGAACTGGAGTTTCTTTTTACCAGAATTACCCAAAATTTCCATAGCAACGAACTAAAATACCACCTAACACTCTCAAAAGTCAGCCAGGTCGTAACCGCTTTTTTGACTATCCAACGCAAAACTGCATAATATATCCTAGAGGTAGAGGCGACGATTGCTTGAGATCAGCTCCGGTTTATGTGGTCTTTGTGAAGTGTGCGAGAGCGAATTTATTGCCAAACGGGTAGAGCATGCGTCCGTACAGCAAAAGCACCTGGTTAGTAAACTTGAAGTTAAACCAAATACTCCACTAGGAGAGCAGACACAGATAACAAAGAAGTTTTTAAAGTGGAAGTTACCACCCTCGTATAGGAATCGGAAACTTCAGCGCGAAAATTTTTGAGAGATTCTGGATCCATGGATTCAATAGTGAGCCGCTAAGAGGAATACCTCGTCATCATGCGTGATCTCACACCGCATCTCAGACTGATATTTTAATGTGAGAGAGGCGCGCTACCCATTCATGTGAACTCTGTGCAGTTGGTCTCAACGTGAAATACTCAGTAAAATACTCATTTTTATGAATAAAGAGTGAAGTAACAACCACTCATGTGCTTATCAAAAGAACAGCGAATTATTTACCAATATCGAGGTTAACAGAAAGCCCATCTGGGAATTATATAACTTTAATTTATATATTACTATTGCTCCACTGTTCTTTTAGCATTACTACCCCTTCTTGGACTGCTTCTATACACTCTGTTAGGTGCTGTTCTATTTTGTGAGTTAGAGGGTCCGAACGAACAATACGAATTGGTGCAGCTTAAAAAGCAACGAGAAGAGCTTTTTGAGGTAGGTGCCAGGAAAGCTGTGTTCGAATAGCATTGATTGCAATCCAACTTGTATACAAAGTTTTTGGAAGCTATAGCATTGTAGAAAAGTCTGTTTGATTAAACATGTCCAAAAAACTGCTAGATTAGGCGATGTGTTGAACTGAACACATCAAAAGCTGAAAAATCTACGAGGCGGGAAAGCATGTATTTTCAAGGTTCCTAACTAAGCACTTTATCGACCACTGTTGCTTGATGCTAAGACACCTGAAGAGATTTCTGGAAAAAAAAAGTTAAAACGTGGTTCTTAGGTTCGACAGAAGGAGTTTCGCTTTTACAAACATGAACTGATGCTTATTTAATGATTGATATCGACGTCATTTAGAGCACTGTGTACCGATTGAATAACGTCCGAGCTATGCAGCCAATGGCCGCGTTGAATCACACACGAAAAAATCTACTACGATTTCAGCAAAAACTTGGCATTGAACCAGTAAGAGTGACACTGTCATCAATCATCCTTAACAAAAAGCATTACCAAATAACCAACAATCCATTGAGGTGAATCTGGAAGATACTCGATGGAACTTTTGGGGAGCAGTTTTCTACTGTATGACAGTGTACACAACCATTGGTGAATCCAAATTTTTCACCGTAACGTCTGCGTATTTCAAAAAAAGGAAGTTCTTCTAGGTTACGGTAATATTGTGCCGACAACGACTGCCGGCAGGGTGCTAACAATTCTGTACGCGTTTATTGGAATTCCCTTCGCAGTGCTCACTCTTTTTGCACTTGGAGCAATTTTCGCAAAACTCTGCAAGACATTGTGGAAAATGATAATTAAATCGACAACTGTGGTCAGCAAGGATCTGGAGCGAAAGGTCAGTTTTCTTTGACAAGCTGCTTCACACAAAGTTGCTCTGTGGAAGTGAATAAAGTCAAATTGATGATTGAACAAAGGTCTAAGAGTGGTTTTCATAGATTTATAAACACATTTAAATGATAGCTGTATTTGGCATGCGAGTTAATTGATGTATTTTCAACTGTTAATACAATTTAGGTCACAGAGGCTGTTGGATTTGACAAAGAAGCGCAGGTACGCTAATTGCTAGATCGTATCCTCAACTCTCAATATCCTTAGCTAGCAGCACAGGAAATTTTGTCTTTTTTTCATAAAACAATTTTTTTCAGTTATCGAGATCTTCCACCAGTCTTAGCGATGAAGATCTTTTGTCGTTTCCAATTTCTTTTCTTGTTCTGCTCACAATACTCTGGGTGTTCTTCTGTGCCTTCGTCTTCACAATATTGGAAGATTGGAGTTATGGTAAGGGTTTTTGACTTTTTTAAAAATTGTTTAGCTTGCTTAAGGCACGAAACGTTTAGGTACCTCGTTATACTTCACATTGATTTCTTTCACAACTATTGGCTTTGGCGACGTGCTACCATCTGAATACGATTACATTGTTGTCGTTGGTTTTCTCCTTCTCATTGGACTTTCGCTTGTCTCCACCGTGCTCACCCTTGTTCAGCAGCAAATTGAAGCTCTAGCCACTGTAAATCGTATTTTGCTTATTTTCTTTTTTTTCTTCTTTCTTTACCCACCGAGAAAATGCACGATGCTCGATGCACATTGAACACAAAGCTTATTGATAGTTCGGTAGGCACAAATTGCTCTACAATGTCTTCGCAACAATTATTACTTTCAACAACATGCGTGTGTTCATTAGTTGTAGACAAAATTGTGTAGCATCCAATCAAAATCCGAAGTTTGGCTTAAGAACCTGAATAGAAAAGTAGATGACCGATATTGAGTTATGATGGGTGTGTAGAGCAGTACTTAGAGGTGCTCTGATATACATAGGTGGTCATTGTTTAGATCGCTTTCCCCGGCTCACCAAGCTCTCCATCCCTTAGAGTCGGGAAATTTGCACCAGACTTGCCTGCGAAGTGCATATATCGATATACCATCGAAAGTCATTATACAGGCCAAATATCTATGCAATTAGTTTTAACGATACTTGATAAAGTCGAGTGTGTGTCCCCAATCTTTAAGGATTGATCAACGCTGAAAACTTAAACCCCATCCTTTGGTTGAGTTATGACAAAAAAAGGGTAAAATTTTTTATTAGCACGAGTTTCCTAGTTTCTGATTTAAACTAAGTTGAAGGGTGTACAAGATGATATCGACCGTGAATACGCGAAAGCTCTTGTGGAAGCAGCCAATGAAGGTGACATCTCCCCAGATCTCAAAAAAACGAAGACGCCCAATGCAAATTCGATTAAAACAATTAGTTCTCCTGCGCAAAGTCATGGTGAGCTTTGTTTTCTTGTCTAAATAGGCTCTAAGAGCGTTTTTCCTGATTTTTAGGAAACATATAGCTACAACACAAAAGCCTTAGTGATCCCGCGAAGAGTCAACAGTAGTGGGGAAGCTTTACAAGCAAGCACGAAGTTGTTATTTTACTTTTTATTCGCAAAAAAGCTGACGTTTCAGTGGATCTAACCTTCTTCAGAGCCTGGGTAGGCCACGTTCTGAACGCTCGAAAAGACGAAATCTGCCCAAGCGACAGCTTTTTTATGAAAAAAAAAGTCTAAAATAACGACTCATGTTTGCTCATGAAGGTAAGAATGAAAAGAATGAATCATTTGGTTAATTACTAGGTAAAACCAACCAGGTCTTGCAAAGTTCTTCTTTTTTGTCTAACTAACAGGGAGAAGACGAAATAGAGAATCCAAGATAATCGAAAATTATGTGGGAATGTATCCCAGAGTCGCGAGGAATTCTTGATAAGATTGAGATCTACCGGAAAGACTTCTGCAGCCACAAATATATTGTACGTCATTGGAAATGCTACATTTCTTCCAAACCTCACTATCTCAGCTCGAAATAAAACTTGAAACATTTTAGTCCCAATTGTTTGTCACTTCATTCTGAGCCGTCGTTCATTTTCCATTCAAATTCGTGTCGTGTTGTAAAGGAAATCAATGAGATAATGAAGAATAGACGGCTTATTAGACTGAATTTTCATAAATTCTGCGAATTGCTTACTTTATAAGATTTCAGAAGTCGATCATCGCTCGATGGATGCTATCCTGTCCAGAATGCCTTTCAAACAACGTATCCTTTACCGAGTGATGCCGAAATCGGCGAAAAAACGACTTGCCAATGAATCACGGCTTAAGATGAGTAGAAGAAATGAAGCTGTGCAAACTGATATGCTTCTCCTTCAGGCATGTTTTCAGAGAAAATTCCTCAATCACTGAGTAATGGTACTGAATTATAAAGCCAATGCCAATTGAATACGCTTCGCTGTTGCAGAGCAAACTATTACAAACGGGACTTAATTGTGGCGACAATGTTAAAGGTCCTCCTTCAAATGTACTATAACTGTCCTTTGTACTTTTAATTAGCCTGATTAGTTAACTTTAGGTTTTAAGAAGGAGTAGATGCTTTGGAAAGTACGAACAGATTGTATTAAAGGAAAAGAAAATGTGTCAATTGAAAGAGCGCAAGATCTTTTTTGATTTTCCGTGCAACGGTTTAGTCTTATTGTTTATTTTAAGGCTTTATTGCACGAGGAAATTTTGAAAATGGAGTTGAACAACGAGCTGCCATCGGTTCGTCAAATGTCGTCTTCACCAAGTCGTCTTGTTACCAGTGGCATAAACGTGAAAAGCACTTACCCAGTTTCCGTTAACGACAACATTCCGAAGCCAACGGTGAAGACAACAGCGCTGCGAGAGGATGAGGTTTAAACATGATTTTTGGTGGTGAGTAGTTCCTCAGTGATAACTGAACTTTCGAAATAATAAAAAACTTTAAACAGTCAAGTCCGTTATGTCTTGAATTTAAAAGTAAGGCTCGTCGTATTCTTGAAAGCCGACAATTATTTGTTTTTTTAGAATGAGATTAAAATGCCATAGGTAATCAAAAGCAAGCTCATTGTAATAAATCTTTGAATACTCGGCAGACGGTCCAAAGTTGATGAATTTTTAGTGGTACTTTTGCTAAGTGGAATGCATGTAGCGAGATGGTTATAGGTTCCCCAATACACACACGGTCGTTGGTTCGATACTGGTCTCAGGTTTGCCAAGCCTTCCATCTCTTAATTGTACCAACTTGTTTGTGTGGATTGCAAGATTGACTTGATACTCAGCGCTTGTCATTCATTGCACAGGCCAGACATATCACCTCTACCGATACCTAATGAAGTCGAATGCACAGTGCATCTCTTAAGGATTGATTAAAACCCAAAGTTTTATTCCTTTTATACTTTATGTTTGCCGATTAGCAATGTTAAACAACAAATTCTTCATTTGGATCGAACCGAATAGTAACATCGAGAAGAAGTTGCTATTGACTAGTGGTAGACAATGATTAAACGCTGATAAACATAGACCATGAACTTGTTATGAGACGTAGGTGATATAGTTGAGATTATTGTTCCCTATGTTCGGAATAAACTTATGCTTTCCGCATACATGTAAACATTCATATGGATTTTATCTTTCACGTCTAACTACTTTGAAGAGTACGTTCATGCAGTCAGGAAGGACATGTGAGGTGGTCGTGTACTTTAAAGAAATAAGAACCACATTTACTCCAAGAAAGTTTGACTTCCTACACATGGATGATCGCGGCATGCTACACTATGTCACAGTAATCACTAGTCGTCCCGTTGATAACAAAAGCCATTAAATCTTCCATTTCTCCTTTCACGTGCAAGAATAGCCCAATGAGTTCTGCACGTTCTGGAGGCTCATTGAGCATCATGTGTTTTCCTAGGGATTTCCCAATGAGCTCAGACCACAGAGTTGGTGGTCTTTCTGCAGTGCGTCTAATATCTCGAGAAATTATGTTGCTAACGGCCGTTGTCCATCGATTGTCGCTCATACGCCTTACGTTTCCAACCTATCTTATCTTCGGCAATTTGGCTTGTAGAATGACGTCTTTGTTCTTGATCACTTGTGTAGATTGGGGTTTCGGACGCCCTTTCTCATCTGCGTGATATGGGATACTCTTAGGACCGACCTTCCGACTTCACTTTCTATAACGCTAAGTGGTATTTCATCCTGGTCACGTAGCGTCGAGATTTCTGACGCATTCGTTAAGACAGAGACAATCGTTGAGTCGAAAAGGTGAACACGGAGTTAGGTGTTTTTTGTTTTTATCACTATATCTTCGACGCTCTTGAAGGCTTCTAAATCCTTTCGCATGATCCTGCTTAATTCCGAAACTAGGTGGTTAATCATGTTTATTTCCCGACCAGGATAGACGCAGCTGAAGCGTTCGAAGATAACCGTTTGCACTGGGCGTAAATGAGGCAAAAGAAACAGATCCGTTTCTCATAAACATGATTTTGTGGGAATCAGTCAAGGAGCAATCTTTCCACAGGTATTACCAAAATTGGCTACCATTCGTTACGTCTAGCTAATGCTTATTGTTATAAGAACGATTTCATCAACAAAACGAAGATGGTGTAATTGCCTACCATCGAATTTCACTTCCATGTTTTTCCATTCCAGTGTTTGATTGATATTCTCATGGGTGCTCGCAAATAATTTTGACAGATAGTATCACGTTCCCTAACCCCTCTTTTGACCTCGGTATTAATATCGTTGTAGAATGGTGATATTTTGGCTGTGAAATTTCCATCTACCTTACGAAAAAATACTGCTTCTAACTGCCTCTCTCTCAACTAGGTCAAAAGCTTTCCTTAAATGCATCAAAGTAAAGCAGCTCTGCTTCTTGCACTCTTGGAATGTATCGGTGGTTCTCGTGATTGTGGGACGTGGTCCATCGTGCTTAATCCTTTTCAAAACCCTGCTTTCTAACATGGCTGTCCTTCACGCTATAGTAGGCGATATAGTGGAGGTCACATTTTTCGATACAATATCACGGTCTTACTGGTCTTCCACTAAGTAGAACCTTGCATTCAGACAGGTAACGTGTGAAGAGCGGAGCCAGTGTTTACGAGGACTGGCGGAAGATTTTTCAGGTGTTCAAGTAAAGCTTCGGCGATCTTTGCGAATTCTTTTCCGAGACTCTGTGCGTTAGACCAATAACTGCTTCTTTTCTCTTTTTAAGATCTTCTTCTGGAGCCAATCTGCATTGTTTTGCAAGTTCGGAAGTGAGCTTACACTTGCCTATAATTCGTGTTGTTCCACTGGCATATCAGCTCGAGTGATTTTGGAGACAAATGTCTCTTGATAACTTTCGAACTCTCAGCTTTCCTAGCTCTAACGTGAAGGTGCTGAATCAACCGTTCGCTGTGTCGATATTATCAAGAACGGCAGCTTCCCAATAACCGACTAATGAACAGAATAAGTGTCAATCTATAAAGGTTTTGGGACTTCGTTTTCTTCTAATTTAGTGGCATTTTTCATGTCCGAGGGAAATGAAAGCTTACGCGAAGGAGGAGATGGTTCGGTCCCATGTAGACACGTTCAATTTACTATGATGTGGTCTATTTTGTTATGGTACTCTCTCTTGGAAAACTCTCACGTCCAGCATTAAAGCTGGGGCTTTTGTAATTACGAGTTATCATGAATTCTCTTGATCAACATGGTAAATTCCACAGCGGCTGAACCTGCCCGTTCCATTCTAATCTGTGGGTCTTAATGTGGCGTTTTTCAAACATCCTTCTGGAACCAGCCTTGGCTCTAAAATCTCCAATGATGACTTCTTTTTCGTCACGACTTGATGTCGGTGCGTATACGACGAATGTTGTTAAAGCCAGTGTTGATCCACATCACTTCAACCGTAAGCATCCGAATTGGGTTGTTATTTGTTCGAATGAATCGATATTCATAGTCATACTTGTGTTGACGGGAGCGCCGATGCTGCGCACTCCTCCCTCCACAGTCTCATGCCCCGTGGAACAGTTCTTCTTCGGTGTCACAGAAGGCGTTTAATGGGTGGCATCGTCTCTTCTAAGACATTCCAATTATGTCGCACCTTATTCTTCTTGTCGACATGGTAAGGTCTTCTATCGAGGACTCAGATGCAAGTGTGCGTGAATTATAAGTACAAATTGTCACCTTAGTCCTTTGCGATTTAAGCAGCTCAAAATGACCCTAGTGATTTTCTTCGTATTTTTGTTGAGCAAGCTCGAGGTGTTACTATTCTTTGTTCACGATTAAGCTGACGTTTCGGCGGATTTCGCCTTCTTCAGAGCCTGGAAAGGTCAAGTTGATAGCAATCCACTCGGCCAGACGCCTCCATAACCAAACAAAGAAACTCCAAACCAAGATTTCAATCATTTCAATTTCAAACCTCATAGAAAGCGGTGAGTGTGCAAAGCTGTGTTCAAAGTGATTGAAATCTTGGTTTAGAGTTTCTTTGTTTGGTTATGGAGGCATCTGGCCGAGTAGATTGCTATCAACTTGACCTTTCCAGGCTCTGAGGAAGGCGAAATCCGCCTAAACGTCAGCTTATTCGTGAATAAAGAATAATAGCACCTCGCTTTTGCTCAACAAAAATACGAAGAAAATCACTTGATCAATGCCGAGGTTAATAGAAAGTCGGTCGTGGCAGTGACCCTAGTGATTTTAGCAGTCTCTCCGTAGTTGTCCTACTCAATGCTGTCGTATCGGGATTGGGGGGGAGGGGGCACTTTCGGGTTCGCGGAATAAGACTTATTTCACTTTGTTCAGCCTCCGCTACCCATTTGTATCCTGCTGAGTTTAAGCTACATCATATACCTTTAGTGACAGTAATAGATAAATTTCTCGTCTATACGAGTCCTGTTGGCACCAGCTTGACTCAAGCACATTCTTCATGTGTTTAAAACCTCAGAATCGCCCTCTTGAATTTGTTTCGTGGATGGTGACATTTGCCATTGTTATTCCATAATGCATAATGATCATTTCTAGCTATCAATTTTACTAGTTCACTTGAGGAGGAAACAAATGAGCCCCTGTGAGTGGCCTTTCACAAAGTAATTGTGTCTTCTTGGACTCGTGGACCTTCTCTTCCCTCTGTTTTCAACTTTTCGCGTTGCATAAGCAATTAACTAGGCTTCGTTTTCGATCTATGGTCTCTTCGACCTCCAAGAAGGGACAGTTTTAGGAAGGTCAGAACAGCTTAGCACTATAGTTGACACTATAGTGTCAGTTATATTTTAGAAAATTTCACTAAAGTAAATACTCGACGTAGTTAAAATGAGTGAAATTTCGTTCCGTTGGTTAACTGGCGACTTCTCCGAGATGGTGGAGCTCTGTCCATGGAGCTGTCCTTCTATGCATTCCTAATTCTTATCATTTATTATGATTATGAAACTCCATAAGAGAGAGCCTTGAATTTCGTTGAATTTCTCATCGCAAGATGGGTTTGCTATGAATTGTGTCTTCTTCGTCGTCGAGACCATTTTCACTATTCGTTGAGATTTCTGAACATTCCCTCCAGGTCAGTCATCGACAACGTGCCGACATCGCTTGCAGACGAAACTTTGATTGGAATTGGCTTCACTCTATCCATCTGTTTGTGCATGCACCGTTTGCGCTCCTCATGTGACGGGTCAATCTGCACTTGTTTTTCCCTTTCTTTTTATTTTTTTTCCCAAACAGTGGCAACAAATCAGTGATGATGCCGAGGGGGACAATAAAATGCGGATGAGAACATCACTGCAAATAAGTAAGAAGAAAAATTAAGGAAAAACTAGTCCTGCAATTAAGAATTAACCAAGATGAGTTGTCC